ATTTAAGTTTTGACTCACTCAAATACAAATTTAAAAAAAGATTCTTATCTCAAACTATAACTCAAATGTAGACAACCAAACACAAACTTAAGTTACAACTTTAACTCAAATTATAACTCAAATTTAACTTAAAAATTACACTCAAGTCATATTTTAAAAGAACAGACCCTAAATATTTTGGGTTTCATGCATTTTTTTTTTATAAAAAACCATTTAGTGATATTTTGTTAACTGCTTAAAGTTTATTGTCATTTCTTATTTTCGAATTTTTTCCTTTATGACTATTGTTTTTGCTCGAGTGGTTTGTTTGTTCCAACAGCTTATTTGCTTGCGCAAAAAGTGGTTTATATGTATATGTTTGGATCTTTCTCATGGCTGATTTCTATAGGTAAATAATGCATTTTTTCCCTGTACAGATTTTTTTATTTGCTGATTTTTTCCTGGCTTTTACCTAAATCAATCTCCTTTGCATTTACTCATTTGCTGATGTGTAGTGATGATTTGTGATACTTAGGGCCCGTTTAGTTCGCTGATTCGAGTTTTTAATTCGAGTTGAGATGTGATTTTATGTGAGAGCTTTTTATTGTAGCAAAAAAATTAAATGTGATTATTTGTGAGAACTTTTTACTGTAGTAAAATTCGAATTCTAAACTTGAATCAACGAAATGAACGGGGCCTTAAGATGTTGATCTATACTTCTAGGATGATGATATGTATCCTTTTGTTCCAGAAGCATTAAATGAATTAGAGATTTTTCCTTCCTTTTATGGTTTGGAGTATATGCATAGAATCTATTAAAAAAAAACCTGTGTTTTTGCTTTTTTGAATTTTTTCCCTTTTCGTCTGGATTGACTATTGTTTTGGATTTTTTTTTCTTTTCCTTTTCTTTTGTGATTCTGATCCTATACTATTTTTATCATTTATTTTAATGAAAAATGTTCCGTCTTTTTTTTTTTTACACCGAATTTTAACATTCTTTTTTCACCGACTTTCAATTATTACATGTGGTATTGTCATTGGTTAGCTTGCTCTTTATATATCGGAAATGTTGTTGCTACGTATTAATTGGTTATGTAAATTGTGTCATTTTCTTCTTCTTATGCCTCACATCTTTCGTTTTCTCCCCTATTATTGATCATTTACTATTGTGCTTTGTCTTGGCCTATTTACTGCTCCATCCTTTTACCCTCGTCTCTTTGCCTTCTACTTGGTTGATTGAGATTCGTTATTTAAGGCAGTGCTCACAATATTTCAGGTACTACCTATTAATTTTTGTCCAGATTCTTTTAATGTTCATTATTGATACTATATCCGTTTGTTCCGTTATTGTTATTTTGTGTTATTTCTTACACTGCTGACAAAAATAAACTCTTTTTCACTGTCAATAAATTTCAGTGATCCATAATTATTTTTTTCTGTGGTGTTTATATATAGATAATTCCTTATTTTTAGTTAGTATGTTTTATCTTTAATTAGTATGTTTTATCTTTAATTAGTTTTAGTGTATGCAAATGATTATTACAACCGGTTTTTACTGTTCACTTCCATGTTATTTATTCTGATGTTGCTATGGATATATTTGTGGTTTTTTATATTCTGATTTTGGACTATCATTTTGCCTGTATTTTTTACCTAATAATTGTTTAGATATTTTCTTTTTTTTTTTTCCCCTTTCCTTTCTTCTTTACTTTAACATTTTTGGCTTTCTGGTTTCCTAGCTTCATCTTGACTTATTCAGTGCTTAGTGCTCTAAGCTGTGTCTCTGTCAGCTGTGTTTGGTTGGCTTACACTCTGTATTTGAGGCACTTTTCGTTATTGATATTGGGTGTATTAATTTTTCGTGCTGCTGTTACTTCCCGTTGATTTTTATAATGCCGATAAAAATCTTTCTTTGTTGTTATGACTATCATTTTTTCCATTTTGTTAGTCGATAATGATGGCACGTTAATTTCTTATTCATTTGTTTTATAATTACACATATATATGTAATTACTTCCGTTTAGCATATTCTATCTTTACTTGGGTTTAGTGGGTGGCAATGATGGTTATAATCCGTTTTGGTCTCTTGAATTCTATATAATCTGTCCAAAAATTATTGTGAATTAACCTTCCTTATCTGGATTTCACATTTACTTATCCTTTTTTTCCCATCTTTGTTATACGGCAATAATGATCATATTCGGCTTTGGCTTCTTCAATCTCATCTAATTTGTCAAAAAATTGTTGTTAATCAACTCCCTTAATCTGGAATTTGATTTCGTCTATTGTTTTGGCTAAAACAATTTAAATACCTCTCTTTTATTCTTTTGGTCTTCTTTAATTTAGAGTTCATCACATTTTAGGTACCTTTTTAATTCACTTGGTAGTTTTTGGACAGATTTATATTTTGCTCTGGTCATTAATTTCGTATGACAAAAAAGTCATAATTTATATGGCAAATATAAGATATGATTAATTTTTATCCCTTTATGCAGTTGCCATTAATTAGTAGCCATAGAATGGTCATATTTTTTACACCTTTATACAGTTGCCATTAATTGGTAGCTATAAAATGGTCATAGAAATACAAATTAGCTGATTTGTCATATATTATTGATAACAATTGATATCTGAGCCACAATTAGTCTATAAAAACATTACAAAACTCATAATTTATACGCTCCCTCATATTCAATATTTCTTATTAGTTATTTGTTTACTTATATCTTGTCATTTGTTTGCTTTGGTTCTTTTTTCTGAAGTTTAGATAATCAACTTCTATCATGAAAAATTTTCCCGCCACCTCTTTATAAATGAAGAAAGCAGTTGAAAACAGACGAACGTAACCATAAATTTATTACTTTATCTATTATTTATTTATAGGTTTAATTCATATACCATTTTTATCTTATTTATTTATTTTGTAAATGTTCACATCTAATATTGTAAATTATAAATTCATAAATATTACCACTTCTCTATCACTTTGTATATTATAAAATTATTAATGCGTGGACATATAGCTAGTTATATATATATATATATAAATAAAGAAAACACACATTTAAAAAATGACAAGTCATCTCCAAGAATGCACGACTAATAATTCTCGTGTCGTTCTTTTCAAAGGACACTGTAATTCTCGATGGCAAAAGATATGTCCTTTCTGCCTAAGCAATAGTGAAGCTTACCGTAAGTTTTCTAAAATCTAAACGACACGAAAAGAGGCAACTTGATTTAAAATAACTTTATTTTTTTATATAAAAATGAAAATAAAAACGTTTTTAATTTTATATAAAAATTATTTTAAAAATATATTTAGTAATTTTATCAAGAAATTATTTTCAGTATAAAAAAATTTATTAATATTTCTCTATCTCTCTCTGTCTGTTTGAGAGAAGAGAAAATAAAAATAAAAAATAAAAAATAATTTTTTAATAATTTTTTATTTTTTACTCATTTTATATTAAATTAAAAAATTATTTTTATTATTTTTATTTTTATTATACTAAACGTCATTTTAAAAACGTTTTTATTTTTTCTTAAAAAACATAAAAAATAAAAACAATATTAATTTTAATCACGGCCGAAATCTCTTCATTAACGACTGCGAAAGGAAGTAGTTTCCTAGTGAACATAGCCTATTTTTTTAGGAGAACGCATGTTGTTTTGTTTTCTTTGTAAACGATAAGTCATTTTCTCTGGATCCACAACAGACTTCACAAAAACGACATGCTCTTTACTGGTCCACTTTTTACTTTTTTTTTTTTAATTTTCTAAATGGCTCACTAAATATTAATTATGTTCTGGTGCTCCTCTCAACATATTTTTCATGCTTCACAATCACAACCAATTAGAAAAACCGGAAAATCACTTTTTTTTTAAAACAAAAAATCTACGATTTTATTGGAGTGGTGCAATCGGAGGTGGTGGGTTAGCGCTGGCGTTAATGGCGGGATACTTCGCTCTGCCATCATAGGAACTCATCGACATTTGGACAGATGGGAATTGCAGGAGGTGGTGGATGAGCTGCCTGTTTGGGTGCGATGTTTTGTTTTGTCGTTTTTCTTAGTTAATCAGGTGTGAACTATTCATAATTATTTAGTGTATTTTTTTAATCTGAGCCATTAAAAAACAATGGAAGGGCTAAAAATTTGTACCCTACTAGTAAAATAGTACTGCTCCTACCATAAACTTTTTTTTTTTTTTTATATTTGAAAATTACTATTTATCTTTTCCCAGTCAAATAATCTTTTTTTAAGGATATTTTTTAATTGTTTTTTAAGTAGGTACTAATGTTTATCGCTTGGTTGCTAATATACTTCCCCCACCCCCTTTGCCTACGGCAATTTCTTTTTCCCTTCTCTTTGCCAAGGGAATTTATAATAACGTTGCTTCCAGAGAAAGCATTTCTCGCTTCCCAAAAAGCAACTTTTTTACGAGAAGTAACCACAATCTCCACCGTTCATCTATAAATCCGATCTGATCGTTCGAACTAAATTTAAGTCTCGTTTTTTTCCTCTGATTCAAATTTTTAATTCAAGTTAAAATATAATTTTATATGAGAATTTTTTATTGTAGTAAAAAAATTAGATGTGATTATTTATGAGAACTTTTTATTATAATAAAACTTAAATTCTAAACTCGAATTAGCAAAATGAACGAGGCCTTAAACATGCCCTGCAAGCTTGACCATCAGCGTAGATATAAACCCCGTTCATTTCACTGATTTAAATTTAAAATTTAAATTTAACTACAATAAAAAATTCTTAAAAACAATCACATTTAATTTTTTTTATTACAATAAAAAAATCTCACATAAAATTACTTTTTAACTTAAATTAAAAATTTAAATTAACGAAACGCTACTTCTCAACCTACGACCACTTGTTATTTATTTATTTATTTTACTTATTTTTGTGAACGTAAATAATAACAATATCATGCACTTTTTTGGCTCTTTAAATTGATTTATTTTGCGGAGGAAAAGAAAAAAATTGAGATCAACTGGCGAAGAAAGCCGTTATTCGTTCTCTGTACGGGAATCTCTCTCTCTTGTTTTAGAGAGATAGTGAATTGGAAGGTTGGCATCAATGGCGGTGAAGCTTTCGACCTGGTTCGTGAGCCAGGGGGTTAGCGGCCTCAGCTGCAATCGCTCCTCCAATGGAAACCTTCCTTTTCCTTCTTCTCATCGCTTGTTTACCGCTTCGTGTAAAATGCGACAGCGCAATCTCAGGTGACAAAGTTTTTCCCTTTCTTTCTTTAGACCCCGCCATTTATCAGTTTCTCTCTCTATTCTCTGGAATTTTGGGTATAGGGAATTCTAATATGTCCAGCTTGGGAATTCCATTATGGAATTCACAAATCAATTTGAAATTTTTTCGAATGAGCCTTATTGATTCTCTCACTGATTTGATTATATATATGTGTGTGTGTGTATGTATTTATGTATATTTATATGTGGTGTGTATGTATAGCTATCAGTTTCTCTCACTCATAAGCAGTTGTTGGAGTGGTGAGTTTGGAAAGTTTGTTGATCAATTTTGCAATTTTTTCCCCAATGGGGAGCTTTGTTATTGATTTTCTCACTGATTATCTGATCATCTATAGTTTATTTAGTGAAAAGCAAAGTTCTTGACAGAGTAGTTTTTTGGCTTCTCTATGATATGGAAGATTGATTTTAATCAATCTTTTTGATGAAGTTAATGGTGGAGAAAGGGAGAAATTGACAATAAAGGGTGTCAGAAATCATGTTCTATACGTATAGATCAGTATTTTATTAAGCTTGATATACTTTTGGTTGACCTTTTGCCTTATCTCTGAATTGATGTTCAATAGGAGGCGTATTCCTTTCCTATTAATCGCTATTCTTGTCTTGAAACTATCTTACAGTGTTTTTGTAATCTTCCATGGTTTCTCACTGCAGCACCAACTTCAGAGACTGATAAAATCTTTTTTTTTTTTCCTTTTTTACTTTACTAGTAATTCTTTTATCTCTTTGATAACTCTATTATTACAGCTTGGTTTGCCGGCGCAACTTCTATGGGAATTTGTGTAATATGTGGCTAAAATATTGTGCACTTGGTATTCTATGCAGTTCACCAAATAAGAGGCAGCAATTGAAGAAAGCTGCTCAGGAGCCTTTGACAAATGGAAGTTTTGAACCTGATTCTGAAATCCCTTCAACGCCTAGTAGCCCGATTTTAAATCAGGAGAGCATGTCTAATAACGATGTTCCCAATGGCACAGACATGGAGCGTGATGATGCAAAAGACTTGAGCAGTCTTGTTTTATCTGGTGAAGCAAAATCTTTGGTATTCTCCTTTACCATGAATTATATACAATGTGATCAAACTTTGGATTGTAAATCACTTGTGTTAGGTGTTTTCTCTATGTATGGTTTACCTTTGATTTGAAGTCTTTCATTTTTTTGTTGTTGTTGTTGTTGTATGTTTTCATCTTTTTTAAATAAGCCAAAATTGATTGAAAAAAAGAAAAAAAAATCCTACTAACTTAAATCATAAAATATAAAAAAACAACTTAAGAATCTAAACAAAAATGAAAAGAAGACTGCAATGGAGCAACCTATGAGAATCATACATTCATACGTGTGTGTGTGTGTGTGTGTGTGTGTGTGTATTATCTTATGATAAACTAACTTGATTTACTATGATTGATCTCTTGGTTAAAATTGTGAGAGAATTCTGCTATGCTGCATAGTCACCACTTTTATTGCTCCTGATCACCAAAATAATCTCAAATTTAAAGCTGCTATATCAATTTTGTTTCTTACTATTCATGTATGGAGAAGGTGCCTAGTTAAGTGTATATCCACACGAAGAGTACTTATTCAATGTCTTTCAAGTTGATCTTTTCTGTTTCAGCAAAAAAAAAAAAAAAAAAAGAATTGATCTTTTCTGCTGAATAGCGTACATGTTATTGGAAGAGCGATAATCTTGCTCTTAAGATCATTATCTGCAGTTTTCTTAGAGCCGGAATTAGGGTTTAGGAGGAATATAATTCTTATTCACCTTAGAAAAATACACTATACAGCCGAATATATATACAAGTTTAGGGATAACCACAGCCCGGTTTAGCCCCTTATTTTCAGCACCCTAGATAACAAAATTGGTAACTACTTATCTAGTAATTAGAGAGAAATCAGGAAACTAATCAAATAAGGAAAAATACAACTGTACAAATCAGCCCTAATTACACCGGTTTTCCACATTATCATCTATATGCTTAGTTAGGGGAACTCGTATTTGCCTTCATGTTAAATCATTAGATAAAACCCCTAAAAGACTGCAACGTATGATAGAAAGTAATTGCACTTCACTCAAAAAGTTTCATCCTATCCTTTTGAAGCACCTCGCTTTCTTAACGCATGTCCTACTTTGTCCTACTTCGAGTGCTTTTTTCCTCTTAAAGTAGCAATAAAGGAGAAGAAATACCAGAGATCCATGGTCCGAGTTGCAAGTTGCTGCTTGTTATCGCAGATGGATGGTTTATGCATTATTTGTGTTCATCTAGACTTTGACGAGACAATATTTTTGTATATTACTATGTTAGGCTTTTTGGCCTTTGCATTATTATCGTATGCAAAAAAAAAAAAAAAAAAAAAATTGCAAGGCTTCAAGGAAAGGAATTAGGAGATACATATTAAAATCAACAGTTTTCAGCTTAAGATTCGAGGAATTTCCAATTTGTGATCACTTCACTGTTGTCTTAAGGAAGAAGAAACCAGAAAATGAAAGCTTCACGTTCTTTATTTCTTAGTGCTAGTGTTTCTTTTTGTTAGTGTTGTACTACATTGAATCCTAATTACAAGTTTTTCCTCATTTTTCTCCCCCGGTCATAGTTTTATTGCATGTTTAGTGATGCTAACCTTTATATTAGTTGATGGAGTCATATACGTTGTCTTTGTCACACACACACACACACACATATAAGTGTTTTCCGTTTGTGATAACTTATACAGAATCACATGGAGAAAGAAAAACCAAGTGATACTTTGTATTTGACGTCCTCCACCAGAATGTTTTTTTAAAATTTATTTTTCCTAAATTATTGTCTCCTATCACTTGATTAATTATTTGGATGAAATTTCTGAAACTCAAATGAAATAACCCTCTCTCTTTTAGGCCAAAAGTGTGGATAGTGCAGAGAGGCTTTCTGGTATGCAACTTGAAGATTTGATAGGAATGATAAGAAATGCAGAAGAAAGTAATAACTACTTGAGCTTCTTTTTTTTTATTTATTTTTTTAAAGCTTCTTTCTATATCTTCAATTTTACCTCACTCCTGTCCCATAAAGTTAACGAAGAAATGAATTCATTCATGTTTTCTATAGACATCCTCCTTCTCAACGAAGCTCGGGTTCGTGCACTTAAAGATCTTGAAAAGATTCTTTTTGAGAAGGAGGCGTTGCAAGGAGAGATTAATGCTTTGGAAATGAGATTGGCAGAAACTGATGCACGAATTAAAGTAGCTGCCCAAGAAAAGATAGATGTTGAACTCTTGGAAGGCCAGTTAGAGAAGTTGCAGAAGGAACTGACTAATAGGGGTAATACTGAGAAGCAGAATGGCAAATTAAAAGAGGAAACCTCCCACCCACATGAAAGTGCCATTTCTCTTTCTGTGGAGCTAGATTCATTGAGGTCAGAAAACCTCTCTCTGAAGAATGATATAGAAATGCTCAAGGAAGAGCTTTCTCATGTCAAGAATACCGACGAACGTGTTGTAATGCTGGAAAAAGAACGTGCATCTTTGGAGTCTGCTCTGAAGGAGTTGGAGTCTAAACTTTCAGCTTCCCAGGAAGATGTTTCAAAGCTTTCTACTTTAAAAGTTGAATATAAGGGCTTACTGCAGAAGGTAGAGAACTTGCAAGTACTGCTGGATAAGGCAACCAAACAGGCAGACCAGGCTATCACAGTATTGCAGCAAAGCAAGGAACTTCGAAAGAAGGTTGATAAGTTGGAAGAATCTATTGAAGAAGCCAATACCTACAAACGATCCTCACAAAAATTGCAGCAGTATAATGATTTGATGCAACAAAAGATAAAGTTGATGGAGGGCCGGCTTCAAAAGTCTGATGAAGAGATACATTCTTATGTTCAATTATATCAAGAATCTGTTCATGAATTTCAGAATACACTTAATAGTATGAAGGAAGAAAGCAAGAAAAGGGCACTTGATGAACCTGTTGATGATATGCCTTGGGAATTTTGGAGCCGTTTATTGCTTATAATTGATGGTTGGTTGCTTGAGAAGAAAATATCAGCTAAAGATGCAAAGCTGTTGAGGGAAATGGTGTGGAAGAGAGAGGGACGAATACATGATGCATACATCGCTTGCAAGGAAAAGAATGAACGTGATGCCATCGCCACATTTCTCAGGCTGACCTTGTCACGAACAAGGTATCATATTTTTAGTTAATTATGCAGAATATTGAAATGACAGTTGTCTAATTGTGCCTTCATTGTTCTTTAGTTCAGGATTACATGTCGTTCATATTGCCGCTGAGATGGCACCAGTTGCTAAGGTAAGTTTAGCTTAGCTCTAGTCATTGTGCGCTTCGTATTTTTTCGCCCTCTATTTCTGCTTGATTGTTGAAAGATCCAAGAGATTTTTGGGCGTGTTAATGTTCCTTGGTAACTACCCCACAGTTATGTGCTCTGTCACCTTTGTTGCATCAGTTTTTCCCTGAAGCCATGATCGTCAAGATCTCATTTTTTCATTATAGTCTTGCAACTCTGTACCTAAGGTGTATGCACAAATTTGATTACTTCTTAGGAGTGTTCAAATTGAACAAAGAAGAGTTGCATGTATTTTGAATGGTCTCTTGTTTTTTAAGTTTGCGTCATTTTGGATTTCATAGACAGATGTATTTCTGTTACTGAAAAAACAAAATGTGATGCTCAGTTAGCTTGTTTTAACTATTCAACCCCACAGAGTATTCAATTTAAACATATTCTGATTTCATGTCCCTCTTATTAAACAGCAAAAGCTTATTTAATTTCAGTTAACAAAATTATCAAAAGAGTACTTGGTTGTTTATTCTGCAGGTTGGTGGTTTGGGTGATGTTGTGACTGGTCTTGGCAAATCACTCCAGAAGAGAGGACACCTTGTAGAGATTGTTCTCCCCAAATATGATTGCATGCAAAGTGATCTGATTTGTGACTTCAGAGTGCGTTTGTTTTTTGTTACTTGAGCACATCATCAAAAGAAAATGGGTTTCTTGAATAATCTGTAGTAACCATTAACTTGTACAGGACCTAGATACGGTGATTGAGTCATACTTTGATGGTCGACTATTCAAAAACAAAGTCTGGGTTGGCACTGTTGAAGGTTAAGAATCTTAAAATTACCATCTGTTTGTACTTTTTGTCGTGCCAATCTCATGTCCTTGACTTCTGCAGGGCTTCCTGTTTATTTTATTGAGCCTCTTCACCCTGATAAATTCTTCTGGAGAGGGCAGTTCTATGGAGAGCATGATGATTTCAAACGTTTTTCATATTTCAGCCGTGCGGCACTTGAGTTGCTTCTTCAAGCTGGCAAGAGACCAGACATAATTCATTGCCATGATTGGCAGACTGCTTTTGTTGTACGTATCATTTATGTTTGCAATAATTATCCATGTGCTTTCTTTAAGAACTTTACATTCTCTACTCAATTTTTGCGACTAACTCCCGTATTGCTTTCTTAGGCTCCTCTTTACTGGGATTTATATGCACCAGAGGGACTAAATTCAGCTAGAATATGTTTTACATGCCATAATTTTGAGTACCAAGGGGCTGCACATGCTTCACAATTGGCATCTTGTGGTCTTGATGTCGAACAACTCAACAGGCCAGATAGAATGCAGGATAACTCAGCATCTGATAGGGTCAATCCTGTGAAGGTATAGCAAGTATAGCAATTAGGAATTTATATATATCAGGACAATTCATCTGGAAGCAATTTTCCACATTTTACTTTTCTTTATTTCTTATATGCTCTTTTCTGTTTTCAGGGAGCAGTTGTATTTTCTAACATTGTGACGACAGTTTCACCAACCTATGCACAGGAGGTCCGGACTGCCGAGGTAAGTTTTAACCATTTATTTGATGCTTTATATTGGTCGGTGCTGCATTTATCTAAATTTCGTCACGCGTTAATGTTCTTGTGGATAATATGCTAACCTCATATTTCTAGGTGGAGAATACGTGCTATGAATGTGATAGCAACTTTTTAATCACCTATAACCTAATGAAAGAATATAGTAACCCTCCAAATTGCCTAAAGATGTTTTAGTGCGTTCTAAGGGCACTTGATCTGTCAAAATATATTAATTTGATTACCGACCACTGTGCTTAAATCTTATATTTTATACAACAAAAATTGATAAAAGTACTCATCAACTACCAGCAAGTAAGCCACTACTTGCATTTGAGCCAAAAGGTGGCAATATGAGACCACGCCATTCCACAACTGGGGCAAAGTTGATTTTCATTTATTTTCTCTTTGCTCACAAGGGGGGACAAAAGAACAAAAAGATAATTGCCATGCACTTCCATAGTTATCAATTATCACCCTAATCAAATGATCTTTTCCTAGAGTGTTGTACTTGTACAATAGATACAAGCTAAGGGAGTAAGCATCGAGCTTTTCCATCTCCCACATATATCTTGCTTTAGTTCTTCTAAAAAAACAATAAATTATTGTCCTGTTGTTGGTTTTCCATTTATGACTTGCAGGGAGGTCGAGGTCTGCATTCAACTCTAAATTTCCACTCTAAAAAATTCATCGGGGTTCTTAATGGAATTGATACTGATGCATGGGATCCTGCGACTGATGATTCTCTTAAAGTACAGTACAATGCTAATGATCTTCAAGGAAAAGCAGAAAATAAGGAAGCTCTAAGAAAGATTTTAGGTCTTTCTTCTGCAGATGTCAGAAAACCTTTGGTAACCATATTTTCCTAAGAATCAAAATGAATGATTTTGATGCAAGATATAATCCAGTTGCACTATTGTCATTACCTAAAACTCCAATTCCGTAGCTCTAATAATTTAAATACGCAGGTTTCATATCCCATGTAAATGTACAATTTTCTCTCACATCTTTATTTTGTTTGCCAGAGCCATCTTCCGAATTCCGACAATTTGAATCAGTGAATTTGTTATTGTAATTATTCATTTAAGTGTGATTGATAGTTGATAAGCCTGATTAAATTCTTGCTGAAACTCTATATTTTATATTTAAATAATTAGGTAGGTAGCATCACAAGGTTGGTGCCTCAGAAAGGTGTACATCTTATCAGACATGCAATATATAGGACATTAGAGATGGGAGGGCAGTTTGTGCTTCTTGGTTCGAGCCCAGTGCCACATATTCAGGTATGTTGTTCTCTTTTCCCTATTACCGTTGGATATGCTTCGCTTATTTTACATTGAAAAAGAGAAATTTGAGAATATCATTTTGCATTAAGTAAACTTTTTAGTTATGAATGTTAATTCAGGTTAGTTCATCCTATTTATTATTTTGAATCAAAGTTGGTATCATATAGAATCTATGAACAATAAAATCAGGTAAATTTTTGTTAAATTTAAAATATCTTTTGATGCATCATTAAGATACAGTTTATTTAAACCTTTAAATTCTAAATTTCATAATTACTGGATAGCTTTCAAGGAACTCAAAGAATTTAAATGACAAAGGACTAGGTTCCAGATATCACTTGCTTTTCTCAATTTTTTATTTTTTTGTTGTTCAATTATTTATACGATTTCCTTCCTCATTCTGATCAGTTGTTTTTGCTTTTATCTTTATGTAGAGGGAATTTGAGGGAATCGCAAATCAATTTCAGAATCATGATGATATTCGGCTAATATTGAAGTATGATGAGTCCCTTTCACATTCCATCTATGCTGCATCTGACATGTTCATTATCCCATCTCTCTTTGAGCCTTGTGGCCTTACACAGGTAAATATGCTTTCTTTCCCAAGAAAGACTTCTAGTAAGATTAGGGATGAGAGGATTTCATCAGAATGCAATTATAGAGAATTTGGAGGAAGTAAAAACAGGCACATATTATATATTAAAGCGAGTGAGACATAGGAAATTGTGAATTTTGTTTCAAACAAATGTCAATTCTTTAGTTCAAATCCCAAGTCTTGTTACTTCAGCTGACTATATTTTCTTCGTCAGTGGCTTTGATGTATTCTTATGTGTGTACCTGCGTTATGTATCTATCTTTAGATGTGATTTCCTGAATCTTTTCCTACAACTTTTGTGCAGATGATAGCAATGAGATATGGTTCCATACCTATTGCAAGAAAAACTGGTGGTCTACATGATAGGTCTGACTCAATTCCGTCGTGCATGTATTTTATGGAAAGCTTTTTTAATGTTATCACATATGGAGAACTTCTGAACTTTTTTAACTTCTTCTGCAGCGTCTTTGATGTTGATGATGATACAGTACCTGTCCGGTTTCGAAATGGATTCACATTTTTGAATCCTGATGAGCAGGTAAACTTTGAAATAATTAGGCATGCTTATATTTCCCTGACGCGTATAAACTGCATATCTGATTGGGAGATTGAATTCTTCAAGATATTTTCGCTTAACGCCACCTCCCTTTCTGTCCACCCTTGTAAAGATTATTGATTTTTCAGTTCATCATTCTAATGGCAGGCCGTAAACCAAGCTTTAGACCGTGCAATAAAACTCTACATGAATGATCCCGAAAGCTGGAAGCAGCTCGTTCAAAATGTTATGAACTTGGATTTCAGCTGGGAGTCTTCAGCATCACAGTACGAGGAACTCTATTCCAAAGCTGTGTCTAGAGCAAGGTTGGCAAATCGCTCTTGAGCTCATTCAAAAGCCATAATGGAGTCCTGAAAACAAGTAGTTCCAGGCAAGCTTCTCCACGAAACCCAATCTGGTATGGGTCTATGAGAAGTTTGAGCTGAGATCGGTGCTTCATTATGTAAATATCCGGCCATCAAGCACGTTTTAGCAGGTTGAGATGAAGTCTTGCATTTTGACGAAGGGTTGAAGGCTGAAGCAGCATCGACGGTATCCTGTTTGTGGTGCCTTCACCAGTTTTTCTTTCTTTAATTTATAGCCAATTCATTTCGTTCATATAAAACCTCTGCAACATTTGTACATTAGGCCCTTTTGTTGTTTCATACTTTCTTTCTTTTATTTATACCTTAAGAACGGGCTTACATGGATTGTTATTGACGTATAAAGGAGACGGTCAGACAGAAGTAACAAAAGATACCAAAGGAACCTTTTCTTTTATAAAACTCTTCTAGTAAGACTGGGAAAGCAAACTATACATGAACCACGATGTATATGCCAAAAATTTACAAGGTATTTTTTTTTCCTTTCCCATTTCAAATTAACACAAAAAAAAAATCCGATAATAAATTTAGTTGTGTTCGATATTATGGTATTTTATTTCAAATCAGAATTAAGAACTCTTTGATAACAATAAAATACATTTACTTTAAGCTTTTATTTTGAACCCTACATTATTTGCTTAGTAATGATAAAAAGACATTAAACCTTTAAAAATAATTGCTCAAAAATCTAATGAGAATTTTATGGTGGGCATGAGAAAATTCAATATGTTTGTTCTAATTTTACCCTTTATCTCCCCTTTTTTTTCTTGAGAAAATTACAGAATTTACCGTTAAGAGTATATGTTTAAATTTTTACCCCTCATTCTTAATTAATACCCTTTTATTAGTATAGTTATTTGATTAAAAAGGTTATTAATCAAGAGTAAACGGTAGAAATCTTAACGCATATACTTTTAAGGGGTATTTATCTCATTTTTCCTATCTTCTTTCTCTCTCCAAAATTTATGTTATTTCTCTTCTTCTCCCAAAGATCCTGGGACTGAAATGCAGTCTTTAAGAAATAAAAAATAAAATATTATTTTAACCCTTATAGTTCTAAAAAATTATATCTTGGCCTCTTAGCTTTTTAAAAATTATATTTTGACTCTTTAATTTTTTTTTAAAAATTGTATTTAGACCCAGTTTTTTTAAAAAAAAACTTTGCATATATACCCCTAGTAAATAAAGAACTTATCAGGATGCAATTAATTAAAATTAAAAGTTTGGGATCTATTGTAAAAACTGAATAATTTGAGGGCGCTACAAAGCAATTTACTCTTATTTGAATGGAGTATGTAAAATCTTGTAATTAGTCTTACTTTTGAAGGAAGAATTTCTATTCTTGTACATTTGGTTTTTTTTCATAAATAGAAAAGATCACTTATTGGTATAAGAGGACCTGACTTTAGCAACTTGCCAATATACACCTCTAGTTTTTTGGAGTTATGTAGATAAAATCATTCTTTCATTCAAAGCTCCCAAATTGAAATACACGAAGCCTATTCACTCAACCATGGATGTCTTCCCCCGGGGAAGCTCCGGTTTCTTCATTTCCATTTCTATTATGTGCCGGGGAACTATAAATGTTGAGGTAGTTCTGATAAACATATGAAATGAATCCCCAAATAGCCAACAACAATGCCATCACCTTTACTCCATCCATTTTCTCATGAAAGAAGAAGACGGCTAATACCGGAACAACGGGCAAACCCAACACGCTTATGGCGTTGGAAAAGAGGGAAGAAACCTCAAGAATCAATCCCACAGTGCCGATGAAAAAAGCCTGCCATGATATAGCCGTGCCGGCTAATGTCATGACATAGGAGGCCTTCCCTAGTGAAAATGCATGCATCTCTTCATTTAAGCCCTTCCACTCTCCACTAACGAAAAGTCCCACCAGGACGGCACATGTTGCGATTAGTGATTCACACACGGTGATGTCCATGATCACCGAAAACGTTTCCCTCTTTAGAATTTTCTCGATCGCAAACTGCGTCAAGCAAAGCATCAATCCATAAACAGCAGACGCGGCAACAGTGCAAATGAACCCAATTGCATACTTTCCTTTCGGGGCTTCGGGATTGTCTTCAGAATCGGCTTGAAACACGATGAGCATGGAGGAGATCGTGAGAAGCACCAGAGAGTTCACTGTGTAAGGAGTGAACTTCTGCGAGTTTAGAAAGAAGGAGAAAAAGGCATTGAAGGCCAATTGGGATGCACAAATGAGTGAGTAAGTAGATACCGGTAGGTACATGAGCCCAACGGAATAAAGAAAGCAATCTGCGGCTAAAACAATGCCAAGAAAGACACAAACTAATGCGAGGATCAGAACAGATTTTTGCCCTGTGATGAAACTGTTTGTTATCGTCGTGTTCTTGCGCCTGGCAATGCAGTAGTAGGGAGAGAGGATTGGAAAACCGGCAAGTTGAACGAGCGTTCCCATCCATTGGCTCTTTCCGCCTTTGTCATAGTACAATCTTCCTAATAGCATTGCTGTTGACTGGCCACAGAGGAGAAGAAATGCATAGATAGCCACTCTAAGCCACTGCAAATAGTTTCCGAGTCGATTAGTCGACGATTGGTTGGAAACACTTGTAAGGCTTGAAGAATTGACTTCATTAGCTTCCTGAGCTGGTAGTGTTGAAGATTTATGGATTAGTGGTAGATTCTTTTTTCTTGAAAAGTATGGATATCTAAATCTCTTCCCACCCCTTATGTAAAAGGAAAAAAAAATGAAAAAAAGGTTCATGCTAAGCAATCCTAGCTAGCATCAATCCACAATTACATTTCTTTGAATAGCTAAAGTGGTTTTTTCCTTTTTTTTTAATGATGAATTATCAACGATTCTTGGGCTAGCTTAATTTTTGCATTCAATTAGATGGCTAGCTTTACCAAGACTAGTTTGTTTATACCTTCAAGTTTCTTCATTGGATATGACTTGTGAAAATGAATTTAAAAAACTAAATCTGATTTCTCCAAGTTCTAGAATCAATGAACAAGTGAAAATAGATATGCACTTGGAACCAGAAGAAACTTCATCGTCCCTACTTGTAATATTATTAGTTATCAGAAAAGGAGGAGAAAAATTGAAAGTCCTATATCTTGCACATATATAGCGCTGTATGCATATATTAGGGGCTAAATACATATACAGTAATTGCTAGTTTCTGGAATTCTCTCATCTTCCATATAAATTTTTACTGAAAAGAAAAAACATAAGAAAACATAACCGACTTCAATTTTATGTGAACATGCAGCTAACTTACCCATAATTTTAAGCTTCAGCTGCTCAGATTCTTCCATGTCAAAGATATTTAAGCTCTTAAGAGAGAGAGAGAGAGAGAGAGAGAGAGAATATTACAGCACCACAAATAATTTGTTGTGAGAAACTACGTTAGCTAGGCTAAGCCTAAAATGATCACATCTCATTGGCCGCTTATGTGATTCTTTACTAACTGAACGGCAGATGAAGATGAAGTGTTCAGAGTGAGTTTGAAGGAAGCTGATTTGAAAGCACAAATAATGTGAATATGCGTGTATTTTTCTTTTATTTTTATTTTTTGTTTTAAATCTGTTCGTTAATGATATGATGATAATAACTTCTATGTGTTCCATTGTGATTGACGTATCATAGACAATTTTACAAAGGAGACAAAAAAGTCTCTACCCAAGTATTTATCTTTTGTGAAACTCTTCTACTAAAAGACTGGGAAATCAAGATGCATATACTAATGACTACTTATTTTTCTTTTCTCACTTCAAAATAAAACAAAAAACGATTCTATGCTTCAATATTAAAGTGAATTGCTCATCTCATCCCTGTACTAAGTACGCAATTTTTGGTCCATAATTATCTTTATTTTTATTTTATTTTCATGAAACAACGCCTAATTTAAACATACATAAAAGAGTCAAAAAAAAAGTTGCTTCTTCTTTGGTCATTTATTTTGTTTTACTTTTTCTATTCTTCTCACTTTTAGTTTCTGGTTGCTTCTTTTTTTTTTAAAAAAAAAAATTTGGGCTTAAAACTCCTATACATTTTATTTTTATTCTTTCCTCTTTCTTTTTTAATTTTTTTCGTCTTTTCTTTTGCCTATTGTATTTGTATTTTTTTTTATTTCCCTCTAATATTCTTTCACATTTTTTTATAATATCTTTTTTTAAATACTTTTTTCATTTTTTTGATTACAATAATTATTTTAAAATATCTCCCTAAAAAGTTTTTTTTTAAAAAAAAAAACTCATATATAATTTTGATTGTTTTTTTATGTAATTTTTTAAAATATTTTTTTCCCTCTTACTTTAATTAATGGACTTAATTTCTTAAAAGGCTAGATCAAACTCATAAAGTTTTTCCTCACGTGCTAGATGACTCAACTAGTTCTTAAAAAGGGTACAAAAGGATTCAAATAGCTATGCATGTGGATATGATATCCAGGATATTTTGGTAAAACAATTATAATTATATTCAAATAAAATGAAAATTATGAAAAACATAGAAATATAACCAGTCAAAAAAATATAAAGAAAAGGAAAAAAAGAAAAAAAATAGGTGGATGACAAATTTTGACAACATCTTTTTAATTAATAGCAGCTTTGTTTTTACTTAAAAGGCTTTTTTTTTTTTTTTTGCTTGCGTGGTTTTCGATGGTCAATCATTGACACACCAATGATCAATCATTGATGAACCAACAAAATATTGATTAATGGATATTGGTCTATTATGATAGACCACCACGTTAATAAATAATGTACCACAAGTTAATCAGGGATAGTCACAAATTAATCCATCATTATTAACCACATCTAAAAACGGTCATTTCATAAGTTAGTAAAACTTGGATCATTTTCTTTAAAGGGAGAACAAGGAAAATTGTCACGCCCCCAAATCGGGGTTAGTGACGTGAAGGCTCGTTTAGAAACTTAAACCTGTTTGAGAGAGTGATTAGTAAATAACGTTACGAATAATTTAATTTCTTTCAAATCCAAAACGTTCAGGTATTTCCAAACGATCCCCCCTTTTATTCAAGAGGAATTCAATTTCAAGAAGGGTGGTGGAATTTCCAACCAAACCAGTTTAAAACCACGTCCCTGGTATCATGTCAGGAAATTCCCACAGGTGTTTAGCATACATGAATATAAACAAGAGTAAATGTGACATCAACCACAGTCAAGTAATATTTAAGTTTACAATCCACAATCTTTTATATATGCCTTGAAATAAAAGCTAAAAGGAAAGATAACTCTTCACTTTTCAAGGTCAAGTCCACGTCACCGGTAGTAGCTACCTACTCCGCACTACTCCTCGCGTCTCCTAGAGGGGTTTAATACATTTGAAAAAAAGAAAGTTGAGCGAAAGGCCTAGTAGGATATAATTTTATAAAGCATTTAAAATAAAGGTACTCACGGTCCGAAGATATACACCCAGAACCGATCATCTTTTTTTTTTTGAAAAAAAAAGGAAATACTCACATAATAGAATATGTCTATATAATGAAAGTATGCAGCTCATCATACCACTAAACAAGAAGCGGTAAAAATGTCTGTCTAATGAAAAGTGCAGAGCCATAATTCCACTAAACAAGAAGTGGATCCGTACGGGTTTCGGGACCTGCCCCCAAGGATGCGATTCCCACATCCCGATCTCTGTGGCCACCATGCGTTGTATCATTCCTTAAATATTTCATTTTAAGAAATGATACTCTTTAAAATCTCATTTCCAAAATCATTGAAAAACTTAATAGCATTCTCATGCTATTTCCTTAAAATCATTTTCCTTTAAAACATGTTTTGTTCTAAAACATTTTCCTTGGCCAAAATCATTTAAAATGAGGCTAACAAGGATAGGGACAAGAATATCCTACATGTTGGATATCAAACCTGTGGCTGTCTTCACGTAGCCCTAGCTCCGCTTGCCTTTGAGGCTCCAATTCCAATCGTGCCACTAACTTTCCCATCAAAATCAATAATTTAGAGTTTGACCTTTCTCATCAAACATCCTCGTTTAATTAGATGCAATTGTATCATATTAGCGTGCCATAGTTCAAAATCAATGTTCATAAACAATTCTTAATTCAAATCATGATCCTTTGACAATGGAAATTTATTCCGGAGAATCGAATGGAAAACAAGGATTCATGTGGCTAATCCACTCATTTTGAATTCTCAAATGAGGTTAGGTCAATCCCACATCGAGTTTCGGGATCAAAACAGGGTTTTCTGGGCTGTTTAGGGTCGGATTCAGTGGGAACCGGTCGACCGGTGACATAGGAGTGGAACTCCACCAGTCAGCCGGTGGAGAGGTGACCGGTCGACCGGATCGGTCGACCTATGGAAGGGTGACCAGTCGACCGGACCGGTCAACCGGTGGGGAAAAACTCCAGGGCCAACAATGGCCAATTCGTGAGGAACAAAGCCAGAACCTGAAATTTTGGGTCTGATTTCGACATATTCTCATGGGAAATGCATAGATCCAGTTTCAAATCAACAAATAAGGTCCAAAGAATCAAAAACCCCCAATTTTCATCAAGGTTTCACCAAATCCCATTCGGATTCCATTTGAAAACAAAATTTAAACCAAAATCACCAAACTCGACTAAAACGAGCTCCACAAGGCTAAATCTGAAAATCCAAAGTGAGTTTCAAAGAGTTTTACCTCGATCCAAGCTTTGATGTTGAAAACCTCTTAGAAATCCCCGTTTTTCTTCAAATCCGGTTCAAGAACGTTCTTGAGAAAGAGAGAAAACTTGAGAGAAAGAGAGAGGAAGAGATGGGCGAGAAAGAGAGAGAGAGAGAGCTCGGTGAGGGAGAGAGGGAGAGACTAAGAGAGAGTGTGAGTGAGTGAGAGGGTTACGGGAGAGGAGGAAAAAAGGAAAAAAAAAAAGAAAAGAAAAGAAGAAAAGGGAAAATAAAATGAGGAAATGAAATAATAAAGAAAGACAAATAAAAGTAAAGAGGGGTGAAACTGTAATTACCAAAAATAAATTTAAAAGTTCATGATTAATTAAGAAATCAATTTAGGCACACTAATCAACCACAATTATCATAATTAAACAAGTTTAATTCTGGAGGGCGTTACATTCTACCCCCCTTAAGAAATTTTACCCCTGAAATTGAAATTTACCTCACGATATGAATAGATACAGATATCGTTCCTGCATCGTCGTTTCCAATTCTCACGTTGCTTCCTCAACGCCATGGTGTTGCCACAACACCTTTACTAACGGTATCTCACGTTGACGTAGGCTTTTCATCTTCCGGTCAAGAATCTGTACGGGTGCTTCTTCGTAAGTCGTGTCATACTGGATCGGCACGTCATACCATTGCACAATGGCTTCTGGATCAGGTTGACACTTTCGAAGCATTGAAACATGGAACACATTGTGCACGTGAGACAATTCCGGAGGAAGATCAAGGCAGTAAGCAACGACACCTACTCGTTGTGTGATCTGAAATGGCCCGATGTACCTCGGCGCGAGTTTCCCTTTCACACCAAAATGAGTAACTCCTTTGCTCGGTGAGACTCTTAACAAGACAAAATCGCCCTCTAAGAACTCTAAGGGTCTTCGCCTCCTGTCAGCATAACTCTTCTGATGACTCTGAGCCGTTAACAGTCGTTCCCGAATCACGGCTATCTTTTCATTATACTCTTGGATAACATCCGGTCCAAGTGTCAGTCGATCTTTTGATTCAAGCCAACAAACTGGCGATCTGCAAGGTCTGCCATACAACGCCTCGAATGGGGCCATCCCAATGCTACTCTGATAACTGTTGTTGTAGGCGAACTCAGCTAAATGAAGATACTTCTTCCAGTTTCCACCAAAATCTAGAATGCAAGCGCGAAGCATGTCCTCCAAAATCTGAATAACTCTCTCTGATTGTCCGTCGGTTTGAGGATGAAATGCGGTGCTGAAATTCAGTTCGGTTCCCATGGCTTCTTGGAAACTTCTCCAATATCTAGCGTTGAAACGAGTGTCATGATCTGATGTGATAGACAACGGAACTCCGTGAAGTCTGACAACGTGCTCCAGATACAACTCTGCTAGAATTTTCCTGGAATAAGTCGCACGAAAGGGAATGAAGTGCGCGGACTTCGTTAACCTATCCACAACGACCCATATGGCATCATGTCGATGTTCAGTCCT